CGATTAACCCAGGCGTTATTAAGATATCCTAATTGAAAGTATTTTTAAATTGTTTTCTCACGTAAAAATACAATTCTGTCTTGCCATTGCATGTGAACTTGGCATAAGACACGAGACACCACTGTTTCTTGATTCTATTTTAAATTATATTGAATACTCAAGAATTCAGGAAATTTTAATTATATAATATGTATATAACTTATATAGAATTTAAATAAAAATTGTAATTATATAATAGTTTATATAGAATATACTGTTTATTTATATAAAATATACTTGTTTATAATATTTACATATTATTTTCTAAAAATTATTAGTAAAATTATACATTCTAAGAATATGTACACTCGCTCACTAAAAGGTTGCGACACTATCTTTTTTATAGGTTTCAAAACGCATTAATATTTTGCAAATGTGGACCACGATTGGTGTTATAACTGCCTTTAAAGATAGTACATCGTGGTTTGCATTTGCAAAATATTAGTTATCTATAAAGTATATATTACGTATATTAAATATAAATTAGAAACCTATAAAAAAAAGTGTCGCAACCTTTTAGTGAGCGAGTGTACATATATAAAGGAAGATTGCCGATTTCGTTATATCACTTTATTTTTGGATTGCATTTCTTAAACAAAAACTAAAAATAAAAAGTATTCTCTTATCAGATAATATAATAGTTTTTTTATAATGTTCTTTGGAATTTTGCAATATTTATTTATTTATTTATTTATTTAAAATAACCAAGAATGATAATCTGACAAAATGAACTTTAAAACCGGACAAAAGTAAGAGAAATATAAGAAACAGAAAATTATAAATAAAACAGTTTTAGGAAACTACTAACATGTAAACCAATCTATGTTTGTTTAATTATCTAAACAAATCATGTTTTTTATTAATAAAGTGCAACATTTATTAGTTTCCGAAAAATAAGTGAGTCTCTTTAGAACATTTATATTAGTGACTATCCTCTATAAATTTTTTAAATAAGAAAATTATTACGTATTGCATATTATTAACAAAAGTAAGAAATTGAAATAAACATAGAATATTATAAAAATGTAATACGTATAAACTCGATTATTTAATTGTTTTAGCAGAACAGTTAACAGTTGTAAAGATAAAAAAAGTCTTCTTTGAAAAGAATTTTATGCTTTTTGTTATGTTGTCAAATTATAATAAATTATAATAATTATAACCGATATGAATAAATGTTAAGTAAACAATTTTATAATTTTTGTTATAGTTTTTATGATTTACATATACATATATTACAATATTATAATATTATGTCAAGAAATTTTTAAAAATTATATTTATCAAAATTTTTTCTCTATTACTTTTTTAGTTTAAAGTTTTCTTCTAATATTATTTGATATACTTAAAAATTTTTATAAAATATTTTATATATTTTAATTATGCATCTTTGAATTAAGATAATATTTTGGAAAAATAATAATTTCTTTTTAATGTCTGAAAATGTGAAGAATGTAAAGAATGAAAGAATCATAAATATAAGTAATATTATTTATTGATATTTTTTTAAATATTTCTTATAATTTTAGAGATATAAATGATATCAATTATGTTATTGAACGGAATTATTCAATTCTTGCATTCAATTCTTGTATTTAATCATTTTATTCGATCAACTTATTTTGAGATACTGACAAAAATATGTCAATGTCAGTCTTTTTGAAAGATACTTTCACTTCTATAAAATTGTTTTTTTCGTTCAAATAAAAAATTATTAATTAAATTTATGTATATTATATTTCTACAAAGATTTTTTTAGTTTTCGAAGCAAGCTTTCTTTGTATACACATTTGTAACACATTTAAAAAATACGTTTTAGAACACAATTTTTTAAGAATATACACATAATTTTTGAGCAAATTATTCATTTACAAATGAGATTGAAACAGAATTATTTCTGTGTAATCAGCATATAATTATAATTAATACCGTATAGTAGCTCTACGATAAATGGTAATAAATGTGACACAAATGTCGTTATTACGGTAATAATACGATAATACGGTTTTGCGTTTCCTGGACACAGTTTTGCCTGGTCAACATAGAGGGTGGACGGTGTATAACCGTGGGGTAAATCCGACCCCTGATATTACACGTGGACACGTGTATAGAGAAGTGCATACAACACCGGTAACGAGCGAATAGCGAATAAACATTGCGGGTACACAACGAGAGCGCCGTTAAATAATCACGTTAATTGTAGCGGATTCTCTGCTCTCTGTAATGCAACTGCAATAGCCTGCAATAGTACGCCTGTTCTACTCTGTAAACGATATCGACCATGCCACTTAACGGAATTATCCAATTCTCGCATGCGATGCTTAATTGATCAACTTATTTTCGGACTGTCTTAAATGTACATTTTTATGGAATAAACAGCACTTATTATAAAGTTACCTACATGCTATATTAAAAACAAATCTCCATTTTATATTTTAAAATCTCTTTATGTAATTTGTTTAAATTTATTTTGGATTTGTTTTTACATATATATTGCAAAAATTTAGCATATGAACTAACAATATTTCATGAATTGACTTAATTGCACATTTGCAAAATTTTTCATTTCATGTAAATTAATTTTTTCATCTGATAACTGAGCTTTTTGCTTGGTGCACGTGCAAAAATTTACGCTTTAAACTTTGACGTGAAATGCAAAAATAAACGTAGCTTTAAATACGCATATAAATTTCAAGAGGGAAAGAGAGAAAGAGAGCTGGTACTTTGTGTATGGACACAGTTTTAGAACCAAATAAGCAAAGAAAAATGTGACCTACTTTAAATCTTCTTTGTAGATTGGCTTCAAATGCAGCTTCATAATTTTCTATTAAAGATTTTATATCCATTTATCTTTTAGCTCAAAATATTCATATAATATATATTTAAACAAATATATTTTATGTGCGTATGATTATGATAAAAATTATGATTATTTATGTTATCTTTTACATTAATTTAAGAAAATTATTTATTTATTAAACACACATATGTATAATCCATAAAGCAATTATTTATTTATACATTTTTATTTAATATACTACAGATATTTTTATTATTCTAATTTATGTTACTTACATAAAATTCTTTATGACCAAGTAAGGTAATAATTATTTATACATATTTTTGTTTGTTAAATTTCATTTGTTTCGAAATTATTTGCGCGTGCTCATATGTATTTATTAAAATTTGTTATTTTTTAAAATCTTGTTTTATTATTTTTTACCTTATCCTTTGCAGTAAACTAATAATTATAGCGTTTGCAATTATCTTTTCTTTTGCTGTAGGAAACTCACCTCGCAACGCGTTGAAAACAAAGTGCACTTCATTATGCAATAATATTTGAAGCCAAGCTTGTTAGCGATGTCGCAGAAAACAAACTCGCGGCAAGCAATCGAACAATGGAAAGTTTATAATATAAGAGAATCACTGAAGACCAAAATTACAAATTCCACATAAATAAGGTTATGATACTGATAAGAACAAAAAAAGAAGAAAAAGTAGAACGGTAATCCACAAAATTTAATACAAGCTTTTACTAAAGTTGCGCGCGCGCGCGTGTGTGTATATGGTGTGAGGATATAGTTGTGTTAAGTTGAATGGACTTACATATGTATAAGAATAATTAAATGTTCTGAAAGTTTTTAGTTTTATACATATATTACTGTATGTAATATAATTAATTGTACAATTAAATAATAATTGTTTAATTAAAACAATACAAAAAAGCGTAAATTTTTGTGATGTCGATAATCTTTAAGTTACAATTTTTAGAAAAGTATAGAAAATTAGAATTATTAAAAAATTATAATGTTACTGTATTATTAAGATTTTAAAGTTTGATATGACGTTTTTAAAACAATCTCCATGTTCCGGAATTGGAATACTGCGAAAAATGCAGTTTAAAGAGGATCGTCTGCGATCTATAAATACAGCATCGCCGCGCGCATACTCCGCGCATACTCGCAATTTCGATCTGGTTAGCACGTGCTGCACACGTTGTAGAAAATTTTGAACGTAAAACGGGTCAACTCTAACAAAAACCGATACTCTATTTTCAAATACGATTGATTATTAAATAATAAAACAATCAGTAAAACCAGTAAAAATTATGAAAATTTGTTGAAAAATTATTCTTCATTTTTTAATGATTTGTTTAACCATTGATCGTATAAATAAATATATTTTGGAATTTTTATGATATTATGATAAATATAATTTAATGTTATATACATATATTATATATATATATATTCACACACACACACACACACACACACACACACACACACACACACACACACGCACACACATACACACGCGCGCGCGCGCGCGCGCGCGTGTGTGTATATATAATTTCAATTATATACAAATTTTAGCGGCATTGTATATTAAATTTTACCAAATTTGTAGTTAAAATATTTGTAATAAACTTATTAATAAATTTTCGCATATTTCACAAAACTTGAACATTTCAGATTCGCATTTACACATTTTACACATATTTTGAACAGAGATAGAACATAAACCATATCCTTTTTCCGATTATCAATATATTTTGTAAACTAATTTTATACACAGTAATATTTTTATTAATATTAAAAAAAATGAAATGTTTGTTGTTAAATATTTAATATTCAATATTAAATATTAATTAAAGTATTATTGGTAAAGATATGATGCAACAGTATTATAACACACGTAAGCGTTATATTAAGCGAGCAAAACTGCTGAAACAAAAATAGTAAATCTGATATATAGGGTAATTCTGAAAGAAACATAAAAGATGAATGTAATAAATAAGTTTTTTTTTAAATTATATTAGAGGCAAATAAAGGCATAATTTTAAGAAAATGAAAAAGGATTTATTGATGATTAAAGTAATTACATATTTGAAATGATATTTTTAATTTATATAAAATATGTAATGAATAAAAATTGTATACATTGTGCTTGTAACAAACCTGAAATACATCCGAATATCAGCAATAATGACACTAACATCATCCAATATTTCGTAGTCATCATTATCTATTCACAACAAACTACTAGGTTTACTCCAAAATATCACTGGGATTAGTTTATGCTGTTGTACAATTTTTCTTTTATAAAACACGAGTAATTTTTACAGTTAGATTTTTTTACAATGAAAAGATACGATGAAGATGAAGACTAGGGAAAGAAGAAAATTGGAAGTGGAGGGTATCTCGGAGGGAGTTAGCATATACCAGGAGGGATGTGAAGGGTGACCTCACATAAGATCGTGCAAGAGCAAACTGAGCCAGAAGTAACTCCCTCTCTGAGTTTCTATCAAGCTCCCCACCATTTGCCTTATACATAGGGTGTCCTGTTATCAGCGCAAAGATGAATTATTCTATGTGAAAGATTAAATCAAAAACATATAAAACTTTTTTATGCAAGATTGTTTGTAGGAAAATTATATTTGAATATTAAGAAATAAACTAAAAATAGCTATATAAAACTTGAAATTTAATCCCTAAACTATATTGATAGACAGTTAGAAAAATTGTATATTTCTAGAAATTTTGCTGGTTAAAATTTGCGTTAGTTAACACATTTATATGTAAAAAATTTAACATATTTTTATTATATAAATTGAATTTTTTATATTTAATTAGTCTACAATTATTATATAAAAACATGAAACATTTTAAAAGATTATAAAGGTAACAATTTGCATGTATTTTTAAATTAACATAAAATTAATGTGATAAATGAAAACTAATTCTACAAAGTTATTAATCAAAAATATATGTAAAATAGAATACTTTATTAATATCAATTTTGTACGATAAATACGTTTCATATTATTAATGACACGATTTATGTGTATAGATTTACTGAAAAAAATATTAATTATATACTTTTATAACAGAAATTGTACTTATTTGTTTTCATAGCATTTTGTTATCAGAATATAATTTCTACTATTTTTTGTATGATTTCGAACATGATCTGAATGTGTTTTATATAAAGAATTATTAATTAAATGAACTTTGCTTAATTATATATCAAAGCTTTGACATCACAGAACTTTTTGCGTGTAAAGATTTCGTGTGGTAAACTATAAAATAATTAAAATAAAAGTAAAACAAGACTCATTCTTAAAGTTTAATTTATGTAACAAACATCATTAAAGGAATCATATTCATGCAATTGGGATCTATTAATAATGAATCTAAGAAAGTATTTATTATTGGTATTTACTATGGTATAAAAAAACCATCTAATCCAAATGAATTTCTGAAAAAGTTTGTGGATGATACAAAAATGTTATGTAGAGATGGAATTAATATTAATAATAAAAATATTCCATGTACAATAGAAGCAATTATATGTGATGCATCAGCAAAGTCATTTATTTTACAAATAAAAGGGCATTATGATTATTCAAGTTGCACAAGACGTATTACTGAAGATAGTTATATTATAATAATAAAATATGTTTTCCTAAAATAAATGCTAAACTGTGCACGGATAAAAATTTTCGATTAAGAAAGGATGAAAATCATCATATTGGATATTCAGTTATATTACGAGATTCCAAATTTCGATCTTGTGCGCAATATATCTTTGGATTATATGCATCTTATTTGTTTAAGAGTCACATGAAAATTATTATATATGTGGTTATTTGGAGAACTTAAAATTCGTTTGCAACATAAAAAAGTTGAGGCAATTATATCATTGCAATTGGAGCAAGTATTAAAATTATATATGCCATGTGAATTTGTACGTAAGACAAGATCACTTGCTTTTGTGAAATTATGGAAAGCCATTGAATTCCGAAATTTTTAATTATACAGGGTGTCCCAAAACTCGCGGATTTTCTTTTAAGTGCGGATTCTTTAGAATATTCTAAGACGAAAATCCTAATACGAAAATGTCGAGGTTATAATAGTTTTTAAATTAGTAGCGATTAAAGTAGGCTAATCACAGAGCTGAAATTTCGCGCGCTCAGGCATGATGATATGACAAATGCTAGAGGTGCTACGAGGGCTCTCTTAACAACACCGAGATTATCATTATTTTTCCTAAGAAATTACTTTTTCTTTTATACAAAATCTATTTGTACACTAAATAA